GGCATCGAGCCATTCGACTATCGCGGACCGGTCGTTTGATTTGGGCTTTGACAGGCATAATGGGCCGACGCACCAGGCTTTCGGCCCGATGGCTTTATTCCAGTAGTCGAAATAAATAGCCTCCAGCTCGTAAAAGCTATTTACCAAAAGTCCGTGGCTACGCTTCAAGGCCTCCATCGACGCTTTTATGAACTCGTAGAAAGGGCCTTCGGGCTCCGCCACGTCGATCGGCGAGCACAAGTCGTGCGTGCTCAGCCTGATGTGAGGGAAGTCGGGGACTACAATGCAATTTTCAGGCCCATTGAGGCCCTCAAGGCGGTCGCTCGCCACGGCCCCTCCTCTGAAACCTGATGGAGGTGGTGGTCTAAAACATGACTGAACGTCCACCGAAAAATTACGCATCCCGCTAAGAGACAATCCGTCACCGCAGCGCGAATCTTTCAGACGACTTACCGCGGTCCAGGTGAGGAACCCGTCGGAGATAATGAAGCTGACCTTCGGCAAAGCCCGCAGTGCTTGCTCAAAGTGGGGTCGGAGTTGGCTGGCTGCGTCGACGAAAGGGAGGAATTGGTCCATCGACGAGAGCCCGTCGGTGCTCTCGACGTTGGGTGGGATGCCGGCGGTGCCTTGAGGGAACGGGAGCTCGACGACGTCGGCCTTGATCGGAGAAAGGGATTCACGAATGAAGGGAGCGTTTAAGGGAGTTGTAAAGAACGTGAATGTGGCGAGGCGGGATGAGGGGGACTGTGTGGCCTTTGGACATGAAGGGGATGATAGCGATGTGAGCGAGAGGAGAAACTGAACCCATGATTTATTTATTTATTTATTTTAGGAGTGTTTTTTAGTTAGCGGAGAGGATGCGAAATCGATTATATATAGAGTTTGAGGGGGTGTAAAAAAAAAGAAAGAAAGATTTTTAAATACGGTGCTTAAAAAGGTTGAAATCTAATTTGATTTGGAGGATGCGTGTATAGTTGTAGTGTTGATTCATAATTTATTGCTTGCTATTTATATGAAAATTAACATGGATGGTGAAATCAATGCGTAGGGTATTCATAATTATTGTTTGCTAATTAATGGATCTTGATTATTGCGGCGATTGATTGTATGGCAGGAAAAGAAAAATATTTCTTTCCAGAAGAAGGTAATTAATTTAGGCGTCCTAAAAATGAGCTGTGAAAATAAGAATATTGTAAGATCAAACTCTACGATAACATTATGGAATATACATGCAAATCTAATAAACGCTTTCTTTTTATGTGTTTAATTGTCTTTATATATACAAATATTTTTCTCGTGCTCCTTTGGTCTGTCTTACAAATAAAATGTCGCAATTACATGAGATGTAAAGGCTTCACATATTGATTTAATCTAAAACAACCTCGCGCTTAGACTTCAATCTTATTATGATGCTTGCGTTTAAAATTTTAGCTTAATAAGAAAAGTATATGTAGTTCTAAAATATCTATATAATATCTTAAGAATCTAAATATTTATTCTTAGAACAATCTTAAAACTCCATTAGAATTTCAACATAATTATTAAAAATATTAAATAAAGCAAGGAGAATTCGAGATAATATTTTGGGTAATTTGTATAAATAATTTATTTATTTTCTTAGGATCTCAGTTATATATTTTTAATAGGAATGTTTCTAAATTTATAAATCTGTTAGATGTTATACATTTTTTATTGTGTCTTATTTCTATTAATATTTAAAAGAGAAATACTAGTGAACCAAAAACCCCTCATTAAAAAAAAAAAATCATCAAAGATATGATATCAAATTAATAAATAACAAAAAAGAATTTGATAAATTCATCTATAGTATTTTAAGAGGAAGGTTAATTCATCAACTTTAAATATAATTTGACATAGGTATAATTTCATATTTATGATTTTAGGTTAATATTAGAAGAACCCCTTTAACTATGATAGATGTCTTAGAAAACCCTACTCAACTTTTTAATTGAGAAAATTACCTTAAAGTTTGGGCATATTATGGATAACCCCATTCAATTTTGAAAATCAGAGAAAAACTCCCTCAACTATTGGGTGTCTCACAAAAAACCCCTAATCTTTCACACTTTTCTCACCAAACCTCCCGGACATCATTTTGAAATGTAAAATAACTGAATATCCTTTTGAAAATCAATCCATTCAATTATAAAGAAACACCAACGAATAAAAAATAAAATGTATTACAGTGTTTTTGACCCTCTTTCTCATCTCTTTCTCTTATCCTCAAATATCAAGGTATTTTTTATGATTGAATGATATTTTGGTCTTTTTTCACTCATCTTTATTATGTGACATGCTAGACCTAATAATGTTAGCTTTTAGGACGTAAAGTGAAAAGAATTCATGCAGATGTCTCAAATTTTCAAACTTCAATGGGATTTCTCAAATTAAAATAGTTGAGAGGGGTTTTCTGACATGGACTCCTTATTTGAGGGGTGTTAAGTAAGGGAGTTCAAGGGGTTATCTTCAAATTTTCATTATTGAGTGAGGTTATTTATAATATGCTTAAATATTTATTGGGGGTGGCCAAGGGGGGTTAGCGGGGAGGGGTTCTCAATTTAAAGTAGTTTATGGGGTTTTCAAAAATTATGTAGATAAGCTCTTTACATAAGTTTTTTCTTTAATTTCAATATTTAGATATATAGTTATGAGATTTTTTTTAATTAAGGGTAGTTATAATCTAATAAGAACTACAAAATATTTTATTATTAGAATTTTATAATTATGGATAGTTTTAATTTGATGAGAATTGTTACGTGAATAAATGATTATGTGTCTATATGTCATCTTCTGATATGATAATGCATGTCGATATCAACCAAACCCTCTTAACTACTTTAATTTGAGAAAACTGCCCTAAAGTTTGGGCATATTATAGATAACCCCACTTAACTAAAATATCCTTTTGAAAATCAATCGATTCAAGTACAAATAAATTCCAACCAGTAAAAAAGGAACCATTTTAAATTGACAATAAATTTTGCCCTCCTTCTCCTCTCTTTCTCTTATCCTAAAAAATCAGAGTAAATTTTTATGATTGAGGGATAGTTTAGCCTTTTCTTAGCTACCTACTTGTTATGTGATATGATAGACCTAACAATATTAACTTTCATGACGTAAAGTGTGAAGAGTTCATGGGTTTTTTTAATTTTTAAACTTGAGGGAGTCGTTATATACAATAGGCTCAAACTTGACGGGGTTTCTTGAATTAAAATAGTTGAAGGGGGATTTTTGAGACTCACCCCATATTTGAGGGGGGTCAAGGGAGAAAATTTCAAGCACTTATCTAAATTTTTTGTAGTTGGGGGAAATTTCTAAAATTAGTCCATGATTTTATATAGAGAAGGCCTTTACATGTCAAATTCTTATGAATATAAGATTAGTTGTCCACATGTCATCTTACGATAGTATAAAGATTACATGTGAATACTTATAACATGACACATATTAACTTTTTATGTTTTTATAATATGACACATGTTTGTTTTCTCTGTGCTTTAGGAATTCCATCAATTTCTCTTTATATATAAAGGAGGGTTTCCATCTTGAATTTTTAGTTGTAACTAAAACCTAACGAACAAGTTATCATACATCAATTATCTAAACAAACAAAAAACTAGTTTTGAAAAAATTTGGTTCAAAATTATTTGGCATTAATTTTGTATTTACAAAACTATCCCAACGTTCCCGTTCCCAATAATGATGAAACTATCAATTTGAAAATTTTCCTTTGGTCCAATGATTCATATGTAGTCCCCCCCCTGTATAAACATATCCAGCAATTTTTTTAAAAAGGAAAAATTGTTTCAAGGCCCCAAAATCCAAAAAGTCATGTGACCCAGCCCCTCATACTTTTGGTTATGTGCTGCAGCCCCAAAATTTTGAATTTTTTTTGCCCAAACCCCTCTATCATGACTCCAGCTCATGTTTTCCTAAAAAACCCAATTTTACCCCTCCCAAAATCACTGTCATCTTCCCCCCAAAATCACACTTCTTCCTCCTCTTCCTTCCCCATCTCCTTCCTCCCTCCTCTGTCTCCTTCCTCCGCCGCTTCGACTCCCCCCCAGTCCTACAAGCGCTTTGTCAAGTCCTTCCGCCTCCTCGATGGCGACTCCTCCTCCCTCGTCGCCGACTGCTTCCGCGAGGTCCGCCCCACCCCCCCCCCCCCCGCCGTCAGCAGCACCAAGCGCCTCGAAATCTTCGACGACAAGAAGAAGGTCATGAGTTTTAGGATCGTGGGAGGCAAGCACAGACTGAGCAACTACAGGTCATGAGTTCTAGATTCAAGGCAACTCTTTCTTCTAAATTTTAGTCATCAATATGTACTGCAAATGTGGGTGCTTGATCAATGCCCACAAAGCGTTTGATGAAATGCTTGTTAAAGATGTGGTCAACACGGCTGCGCTTATAACTGGTTACTCACAGAATGATCATCCTAAAGAGGCATTGGAGTTGCTTCCTAAAATGCTCGTACTTGGATTGAAACCTAACGAGTTTACTTTTGCGAGCCTTTTGAAGGCCACTGGTTCTGCTGCAAGTGTTGGAATTGGGGGAACAATTTCATGCTTTAAGTGTTAAATATTCTTGCAACTTGAATGTGTTTGTTGGGAGTTCATTGTTGGATATGTATGCACGTTTTGGGAAGATGGATGAGCCTTGTTTTGTGTTTGATCGGTTGGATTCCAAGAACGAAATCCCATGGAATGCTCTAATTGCTAGATATGCAAGAAAAGAAGAAGGCGAGAAGGCTCTTAAAGTGTCAACTATTTTACGGTGCTTGTTAACTATATTCAGGTTCATGTTAACTATTTGAAGGTTCTTGTTAACTATATTCAGGTTCATGTTAACTATTTTAAGGTGATTGTTAACTATATTCAGGTTCATGTTAACTATTTTACGGTGCTTGTTAACTATATTCAGGTTCATGTTAACTATTTGAGGGTGTTTGTTAACTATATTCAGGTTCATGTTAACTATTTTAAGGTGCTTTGTTAACTATATTCAGGTTCATGTTAACTATTTTACGGTGCTTGTTAACTATATTCAGGTTCATGCCAATGGGAGAGGAGACTTCAAACTGACATCCAAATGGCAAAGCAAGCTCTTTGTGATGCTTTATCCGTTGAAAGGAAGCCTGAAGCTTTAACATGTTATCTGTGTAACTTAACAAGCTATCAAAAAAAGTTAACATGTTACCTGTGTAACTTAACAATCTAACAGAGTAACTTAACAAGCTAACAAAAGTATTTCAATAGTTAATGACTTATATAAGTATTTAAATAGTTAATAGGACAAATTTGTGCATCAATTTTATATCACATTTTCATTATAGTTCACATCCCTACAAAAGTATTTCAGTTCATATACACAGTTACTACATACATACAAAAATATTTAGCTATTACATCTACGTTTAAGGCAAGATGAAAGCCAAATAACATTGTGCCTACTGAGGCACCAGATTAAGGAAAAGGCCCAGATGGAATTACATTAGTGTAATAATTCATAACTTCACAATACACTGATACTCGTTTTCATCTTGATGCAACTAATCTGAAGTCTGGGGAGGATGTGGATTGTGGCAAGAGGATCTCTCTGTTGGGCCACATTGTGCAATTCCAGGTGGATGCCATAACCTAAAACAAGCCAAAAAAACCCAAAACAATCAATCTTTTCCCCTCTTTTTAATATTTATTTATTTATTGAATTTAACTGGAAAATCAATGAGAAATACCTTGAAGGCAATGCAGTCATGGGTTTTGTTGGATAACAGGACATAACACGAGA